TGAGCAAGAAAAAAGAAAAGAGTGACTGTCACCATGGGTGCTGCTGCCAGAAGAAACAGAATAGAAACAAATAATCAGACCACAAGAAGAAATTGCTATCACCATGATTAACTAGTGTATAATTGATAGTCAGCTCAAGTTAGCAAACAGGTCAACAGTACCAGTTGTGATCGGAGCATGTGACAAGCATCAAGAGGTTCCAATGAACCACAACATGGCAGTAAGTGAAGGTTATCTCGGAAATAGGAAAGTGAAAGTCCTATGAGACACTGGGTGCATCAGTGAGAACCAGTCTAATATCTGATGACTAGATGATGAGCAAGGTACATCTCTGTGTGCTGTTTATGGGGCAGTGAGAAAGTTTCCCATATCAAGAATAAAGGTGTAAACTTCATTCTATGTGGGAGACCTTGAGGCCATATGTATGAAGGCACCCATATATGACTTTGTGATTGACAATATACCAGCCAGTATAAGTTTGGAGGAGCCAGACAGAAAAGAGGCTGACGAGGCATCTGCAGTCACTACAAGAACTCAAGAAAAGAAAAGCAAGTAATACATCAAGTTCCTGAAGGAAGAATAGAAGAAAGACCCTTCACTGCAGGATCTTTGGGACAATGCCCAGGAGAAAATTGAGCACACGAAAAGGGGGAAAAAGACTTACAGAAAGAGTACTAGAAGGGAGTGCTGTGCCAGATCTATCAAGGCAGTTCTACTGGGGAAGTTAAACAGATCGTAGGACCAACAGAATACCAGACTCAGGTGATGAAGTCGGCTCACGAGTCGATTGTGGGAGGAAACCTAGGAGTGAAGAAGATTACAGACAAAATCATTAGAAACATCTATTGACCAGGGTTCATTGGACATGTGATCAGATTCTGCAAGTAATGTGGCATCTGCCAAAGGACAGTACCCAGAGAAAAAGTAGCCAATGCCACTGGGTGAGATGCCTGTCATAGAAGAGTCATTCAGCAGAGTAGCTGTGGACTTGGTAAGACCACTAGCACTTGACAAGAACAACTGGGGTGTGGTGACAGTAATCGACTATGTGCCACATTTCCTAAAAGCTATAACAGTGCCGAGGATAGAGATGCAGAGAGTATCAGAAGCTCTCCTGGAAGTGTTCTGCAGAGTAGACTTTCCAAATGAAATCTTGAGCTGCAGAGGGACCTAGTTTACTTCAGAACTGATGTAAGAGGTGTGCAGACTCATCAGCACTAGGCAGCTCTTTACCGCCATGTAACACCCCAGATATAATGGACTTTGTGAGAAAGACAACAGAGCCTTAAAGATCATGCTGGAGAACATGTTTCAGGAGAGACCACGTGACTGAGACATTTACCTGCAGGCAGTATTTTTTGTTTACCAAGAAGTCCCACCAGCCAGTACAGGATTTTCACCCTTTGCAGTACTGTATGGAAGACACTATGAGGTCTGATGCAGATATTGAAAGCACTGTGGACAAGGAGAAGAAGAGTTAAAGGTGAGGAACACCTACCAGTACGTGTTAAGACTTCAAAAACCGACTGGAGGAGACCTGTCAATTTGCTTGAGAAAGTTTATATGCAGTTGAAGGCAGTCAGAAGCACTTATATAACAAGAAGGCCAAAAATCGACGTTTCTAGGTCGGATATAAAATCTTGGTTCTGCTACCCACAGGCAATAACAATCTCACCTTTTAAAGTGCAGGAAGTGATCAACAAAATGGACTATAAGGTGAAAATGGACAGGAAGATAAAGATCTACCATGCTAGTCTGTTGAAGAGGTACTGAGAGATGGAAGAAGATCTGACAGATGCAGTTATTGGGGCACTTATAGACAGATGTAGTTGTCATAGATGCAGAACCAGAAGACAATGAATTAGCCATAGAAGATGAAGACCTACTACACCTAAAACCACTTGGTAGAGATGAGATATACAAAGATATCAATATAAATGCAGAAATGACTGGCAAGCAAAAGAAACACCTACAAGAGCTACTGTACCAATATGCAGATGTCTTCACAGATAGACCAGGCAAAACAGACCTTGTGCAACACAATATCAAGAACACAACCAGAGACCCAGTCAAGGTGAAGCCCTACCAGATGCATTATGCAATGAGAGACCTGATCAAGCAAGAAGTCGAAGTAATGTTAGAAGCCAGAACCACTAACCCTTCGAATTCAGCCGACTATTCACCAGTGGTCATCATAAAGAAGAGGGATGGCTCAAACCACTTCTGCATAGAATTCTGCAAGCTGAACCTTGTGACGAAGTTTGACTCTGAATCGATGGGAAACCCATGGGCTATCATGATAAAACTAGACTAGGACAAGTTCTTTACCAAGATCGACCTCAGTAAAGGTTATTGGCAGATCCCAATGGTGACAAAATCTAAAGAGAAGACAACCTTTGTGACACCAGACGGATGCTACTAGTTCAAGAGGATGTCATTTGGGTTAGTCAACTCAGCAGTGATATTTAACCACATGACGAAGAAGATGTTGCATAAGTCCACCAACATTGAGCATTGTGTGGACAACATTCTGACCTATTCAGCCAGATGAGAAGAAACTGAGAGAGCTGTTCAGGCAAATGAGGACAGCTGGCCTGACCATCTAAATGCAATATTGGTTATTCTGTGCTGGACTTTGTTGGACACAAGGTGGGTGATCAACAGAGGGCCATGGAAGAGTAGAAGCTAACCTTCATACAAGATGCACTAGCTCAGATGACCGAGCAGCAAGTCAGATCCCTACTGCAGTTAGTGGGGTAGTATAGAAAGTTCATGCCAAACTATGCTGAATTCACAGCACCACTGACCGACCTGACCAAGAAAGGCCAACCCTAAAAGATGAAATAGGAACAACCACAGCAGATGATATTCTAGAAGTTGAAGAACATGTTAAGTTTGTCAATCCTTAGAATGCCAGACTTCAACAAACCATGCCTTATTCAGGCCGATGCATGAGATGTTGGAATTGGAGCAGTACTTTTGCAAGAACATATAGATGGACTGTTTCCCATAATGTATGTCAGTAAGAAATGCTGTTGAGTAGTGAGAAGAATTACTCTGTGATTGAATGATAGTATCTGGCCATTACATGTTCCATCTGGAAATTCCAAAACTAGCTCTATGGGAAAGAGATTATTATCCAGATGGATCACCAGTCTCTTGCATACATCCAGAGGTGCAAAATCTACAATGCAAGGATAATCAGGTGGGCGTTGTATCTCCAGAACTACTGGTTCCACATTGAAGCCATCAAAGGGACTGCAAATGTTGTTGCAGACTGTATGAATAGACTTTGTGCATGAACTGAAAAGTCTTTGTATATAGTATATAAATATTGTAAATATTTTTCTTGATGAGGGCTTATTGTTCGATATACAAGACTGTTTCAATTTAAGTTTAAAGCAACCATCATGATATAGATAGTTTATATAGCGCAAATATTAAATTTAGTTATTTTTAGAAATTATAGTTTATCACAACTTTGTTTATGTAACTGTTCATTGTGCAGTTCACTAGTTATAAATTCGTGATTGTTATATTATTGTGTCATGTGACTCTTTTGAGTTTTTCTCGTTGTTTTAATTGATTTTTATTGCATCATAATATCTAGTAGTGTAGCGAATGTTCTACATCTCTGATGGAGTATAAATATACATCTTCAGTTGAGTTCGATCGATAGTTCTTGACTAAGTGATTGTTAGTTTAGCCATATATAGTGGCAATTTTTAAAGTGAAATTCTCACAGACTGTATTGAATTAACAGAGCAGAGAAGAATAATTTGTAAATTTTTTCTTAAGTAATTGAACCAGCCTGTGTGGACTTTGACGTAGAGACAATTTTTAAAGCTCTGGATACAACTATAATATCCAACAGTGTAACGAAATATTCGTATATATGTTTGACTTGTTTTATTATATTATCTTAAAACAAGTGGGCTCTGTGCTGTTTGTTTATTGTTGAAATTTATCGTCAACAAGTCACAGACTCCTACTGTAAGGTATCTAGCCTATAAAAAAACCTGACAAGAAGGATTATTATGAAAGTAATGTACAGCAATTTAAAATAGTTTAATGCCCTTCAGCCAAACAATTAGACTTGAGTCAAATCTCATATGGTGTGGGCCTATTTATTTTTGCTTTTTCATTAATTATAAAACTCAATATAATGTTCCATTTTATTTTTTAACAACTTTATCTAGTTAATATTTTATTTTCATTTCGATTTCTCTAAATTCATTCAATACAAAGAACTTACTTATACAACACTGTTGCCCATACCTTGATTATCGCCGACTCATGTTTCCTGATATTACAATTCATTCTCTGTCTAGCTTACAAAACTTATTCTATTTTGATTTTTATAATTCTTTGCTTTGATCTTCTTATCCAAAACTGTAATTTTACATTGCATAAAATAAAGGTTAACTTTGGAAAAGACAAATAAAATGCAAATCCTTGTATTAAATGTAATATTGCAAGGATTGAAATAAATCAAATGTATATAAATTTGAAATAACTCAAATTAGCACATTAGTTCAAATTGTAGTAAAAAGAATGGACAAAATTTAACTCAAATTGAGTGAAAAAATATTTATCTAATCTCAACAATCCTTGATGGTTCACAGCTTTGTCTATCTACAGCTCCATTTTCTTTGTGATGTTAATGTACTTTGTTTCGGAGTAAAAATGAAATAATTAAGGTATCTGATCAAGAGTAAGTTAACCATATTGATTGAAGCAAGAATAATTTAAAGTAACTTTAAAGTAACTAAAGTAGATTAATAAAGACAGTCCTGTATAATAAACTGAATAGAAATGTTCTTTTTACAAATGAACATACCATAAAACTGAAACCTATTAAACCTAAAATGTATCGATTCATCACTTTGGTACACTCGGCGTTTTATCAATAAGTTATTTTAAGAAAATAATTACTTTTCTCACTCAAAAATAACTTCCTATTATAACTACTAACGAAATTAGTATGTTTTACTATGTAGATTGCTCCAAGAAAAAGAAGAAACTGTAACAAAGAAGACAAAACTTGAAGAGATGGACGATTTAGGTATTTTCAACTTTTCTAAATAAAATCTACTTAAATTTTTACAAACACATACACAAATAAAAGATTCATACTTTAAAAATTTTTAACTCCTTTTTTATTTATGAACAAGTTAGGTTTATTCATAAATCCTTTTACTTTTCAGTCTTCAAAACTGATCAAGTCTCATTTTTAGCTACTTCCAAATCTTGTGCTGTTAAATGTTTTTTAACATTTGTAATTTGAAATATTAATCTAGAATTGACTTGCTAAAAAATTGACTTAGCTGCTATCGTGAAAGCTAATGAAATTCGAATTTGCAGTTAAAGTAGTTACTGCCTAGATTTTTGGTAATCGAAGTTAACTTAATATGCCTTACATAACAACTAGAAACCAACTGACTCAATGTCATATATATGTACATAGCTTTTTACATTGTGAAAAATAAAATTTTATGTACAAAGAAAACTAAACAAAGAAACAGTTTTCCAGCTAATTGCATATATAAAGCATTATCCGAGACACTCCTTACCACCTACTTTGTTGAGCTAATAGTGGTATAGCTCAAAACATAAGGTTTCACCTATAGTAAAGTGAGAACTTTATATCTAATTTCAACTTTACATGGTATATATTAAAGCTGATTCTCTTCCCAACAGAATTTGTTCAGTGATCAGTATCACTTATTTGTTTGCTTTGGCTGTTTGTGCAAAACTACAGAAAAGCTATCTATGCATAGCTCTCCTTAAAAGAATGAAGGAAGCTAATCAACAATATATATACTGCAGTAGTTAGGGCAGCATTTGCCAGGCACGCCGCAAGAGGGTGCCTCACGTGTGTCGACCTGAGGCAATGAGAAAACACAAAGTGTCACCATAGAGCATTTGCACCATGGGATGATGTCACGAGAGATGATGAGGTCCACGAAATGGCATCATAGAGCACATTGCTAGGCCACCATGACAGGCAGACATGATGTCAGAGATGATGATATCCACGAAATGGAACTACAGTGATGATGAGATCACCATAGATGTCTCAACATCTAATCAATGGCTAGATTTAATTGTTCCAAAGTTATTTTATTTATAAAACACTTCACTAATTCATTAATTCTATATTTAATCATACTTTTCTACATATCCTGACCTTTTATATGTAAATCACTTATTGTTCTGAAAAGGACACTTAATTAACATGCAAACTTATGACAACCTTACTGTTTCACTAGTTTGCCTTTATACAATCCATATAACTATGTTCTTGACAAAATATTTCAGTTTGTTGTTTCCTATGATAAGGGACAAGAAAATACACAGCCTATTTTGATTTGATATACTGATTATACATAATTTTAATTTCTATATTTAAGCATACTTTCTATAGTTAAGTCGTGAAAAGGACGCTTATTTAAATATCATGCATTTTCACTACTTTGCCTTTTAACTATGTTCTTGACAAAATATGTCATTTCACTTATGTACTTTTTACAGTATTTCTATGGGTTGAAGATGTTATCATTACTAAAAAATAGTGTTAAGATCACTTGTGAAATGAATTCGTAACATATTCATAGAATAATTATTGGTAAACATCAGTTAGATTAACAACTTCTAATATATAGAAAAGTCAGTGCACTTTGGTAACACTGCATTCCAACAATGGCTTTTATGTCATTTTATGCTTAGCAACAAAGTATAACGTAATATTGTTTTTAGGCTATGTATTGAAAATATAAAATGAAATGTATAGACCTTTGATTAATAAAGAGGTTTGTTTTTATTAAAAACTTTGGTGATATAACAGAAAATAGCTCGATTCAGAAATGATTTAAGTGTAAAATTGAATCTATATCTTTACTTTCATGATAAGTTTTATGCATGGACTCTGAGCTAGGTGATCCCACATTACATCTTTACATTAGGCTTATTATACCAACACTCACTACACTTATAGGTTTCATGGCACTCTTATACCCTTCACGGCTCTCTCGCACCCCCGTCACTAACATCGTAATGAACAGACAGTAATCAAACTATTCTATCTGGATAAATGCATTTTGACTTTTATTACCCCTCTTATGTCGATAAATCAAACGAAATCAAGCATGATGTCAGTCAGTCAAGCATGGTAGGAATTTAGGTTAAAAGTGTATTTCATTCCCAAAGGAGAATGAAATATAACCAGGTGTGGTCAGAAGCTTCTGTTTCTCTTCACCCCACTACATAATTAAAATTAAGTGGCGGGGCTTTTAAGAATTAAATGCTAACATGAGTGAAGGTTTTAATAGTTAATTTTCCTAGTGACGAATTCACAAGCTGAGGGGAGAGCTGTGAGGAGACGTGGAGAAGAAGAGATAGAAGGAGAGCTTTGGTGAGTTGAGTGTTGTCTTCAGAAGTATTCTGTCTTTCAGCAGAACCTGTACATCTGATGACCACGTGGCATCGGGTGTTGCAGGGCTTGAGTGGTGTAGAGCAGAGCAGGTAGATGCAGAACGAATGTGTCCGTTGTTGTCTAAAAAGTTGAGATTAAACTGATTAAAGAATATTGACTACCAATTGAGGATCAGGATTTTAATATTTTAACATTAGAATTACATTTACTGAGATGGTCCTTTTCAGAGCTGGGATCCAAAGCATAAGGAAAAAGTTTGTTGTGGGGGGACTGGAGTACTCTGAGAAAACCCACTTGCACGGCCAGGGTGCCAAATAAAATACCTTGACTGTGCCTGGAAAATGCTGTGGAAAAAGACATATTATTAGTTTTCTTGGGTTGAATTTCATGTGACTACTGGTGATGCTTGAAGGCTACAATAGGCTGGCTGGGTGAAGAGGTGACGTGATACACACACTGGATTTTATATAGGATAGATAACTCGCATTTCATAATAACCCAATATATTATCATATATACTTAACAAAACTTTCCCCTCGACTTGGATTCCTGTACGTGGTGAGGGGACCTCCCAGAGAAGGTTCTGTATTTTCAGTTACATCTAAACATCCACCCACGTGTTTGCCATGCGTGGCGACCCGTGAAGGGGAGTAGAGGATCCTGGTGGTTGAGTGGTGTCTGGGGCACTGCAACACACAACTTTGGCCTTGAATTCCTGTAGATGGGTGGCCTTGGGGTGACCCCCCTAGTGTCAATCAGCTGGTCCGCTGGGGTTAGGGTCAACTGAGTACCAGTGTTGGGCGTTCTCAATGGGTGTTGTGGACATCATGTCTGATACTGGTGTTTGGGTATAGTGCTCACGAAACCCTGGCATTGCTGCAGTGTCCTTGTTTGACATTGTAGTGCATCCTCTCGTAGGACTCCATGGCGGGTGGGATCAGTGGGCACTGAATCTCTCTCTTTAATTATGGATCCCCATTCCAAATTAAAAAAAAATTAAAAATCTGCTAATTGCTAAACGACCACGCCTAGAAGACTCTGAACAGCAGTCTCCATCACAAAGTACACCTGTACCTCACTTTTTGATCCTGCATTCACTGTCTGATAAATCTTTAGGGCAAATGTCTTCCTTTTTTATTCAGAAGGGCTTAGAGGGGCTTGCTGGCTCTCCAAAGTCAGTTAAGAAGCTCCATTCTGGAGACATCTTAGTAGAAACTTCCACAGCTAAGCACAATGAACTTCTCTTGAATTCAAAGGCCATTGGGGATATACCCATTGAGGTTACTCCCCATGCTTCCTTGAACTCCTCACGAGGAGTTATTGTTGAGAGGGACTTGAAGTCTATCCCCGAGTCGGAAATCCTTGCTGGTTTCTCCAGCCAAGGAGCTTCAGCAGTTCGAAGGATCTCCACTCGTCAAGATTGAATTATGGTGCCGACCTCAGTTTTGATTTTGACGTTTTCATCACCACGTCCACCTGCCACCATTAAGGCAGGTTATTTGAACTGTAAGGTATGGCCCTATATTCTCAACCCTCTTCGATGTTTTCCGTGTCAGCAGTTCGGTCACTCAAAGATAGTAGCAAAGACCATGACTCCTATGAGTGCAAAATGGACCCTCACTGTGTTAATTGTAGTGGTTCCCACCCCTCTTACTTTAAGTCTTGCCCTAGGTGGGTGGAGGAGAAAGAGGTACAGTGTTTGAAGACTCTTAATAACATCTCTTATCCTGAGGCTCGGAAACTATTGTTCCCAACTACATCTCGGACATATGCCTCTGCACTATGATCCACTGCTACAGTGGGAGTGCAGATGGACCTTTCCATGCCTCCATCTGAGTCTTTTTCACGTCATGTGCGGGGTCCTCTGCCCTCCATGGATAATAGAGTCGATAGATCTACATATACTCCAATCTCTGTGCACACTGTTCCTTCCAGTGACTGCCTGGGTCAACCTCCTCTGGCACCAGCCTCTGATGTCCGTGTGTGTCCTTCTTTGACCCCTAAATGCAGGACAATTATTCGATCATGTCCTCAGTCATTGGATTCTTACTCTGATGACAGAGATCTGCCCGCTCATTCAAGGGCAGGATCCATGGAGGTCGATCGACCTCCATCTAGTAAAGAACAACGGCGTGGTCATAAATCGAAGGGTTCTCCACACTGTTCTCCTAAACCTACATAAAAATGGCCACTCTGATACAATGGAACTGTCGAGGTCTTCGTTCTAATC